TGGAACTTAGTGATCTCAAACCAAGAGATACAGTTCCGAATAGTTAATTTTTCGTGCTTTGAATCAGTTGGCCGATTTAAAAACATCGTATTTATATTCTTAATATTGAGAGCCGATAAAAAAAATATTTCTTTATAATTTTATTATGTTGACAAGAAAGATATGTGATGACAAGTCTTTTATTTCCTACCGAGATTGTAGAGATTAGAATGGTCAATTAAAGTCGGTGCACGTTATGTTCATTGAATTGGAAAATGGTGGTTTGATGATAAAAGTTTGCGGAATATTTTATTAGGCTCAAACATAAGCATCGTTATTTTTCGAACGCTTCATTGTTCTATCATCTATTAAAAATATAAATTTTTGCTAAAAAAAAGTATTGAAAAATATTAAAAAAAAAAAAAATTCGTGGAGCATCTTCTCTAATAAGTATAGAATGCATCTTTTTGAAATTCATTTTTTTCATTACTTTGTCGTTCAAGATCTAAAGAGCTTTAGAAAAATCTTACATAATGGAAAAAGATGGATAATGTTTCTTCGAAATTTGCATATAAGAAAAATATGAAAAATTCTTTTTAGAAACAATGAATGAAAACTATTCATTGATTGATATTTATTAAAATGTATAATATTAATTATACTAATTAACATTTTTATTACACATTGAAAATTTTGCTTTATATTTACTAAAAAAAAATTATCACATAATATTAAAGAATATATCTCGAAATATTTATACTCAAAAAAGGAAGTAACAAGCTTTTAAAAATTTTCACACACACACACACAATTTATTTGAAGTTTTTTTTATATCTTGAGATATTTACCAGACTGCGCGCGCTTTTTGTTGAGATTACTTTATTCCATGATATAAAGAAGGAGATTAATGGCGTAAAAGAATTTATTCATTTATTATTGCAACTTATTTTCTTTTCTGAAAGTACTTTTCGAAACTCGTTGAACACTTTCATGAATTGCGAAAGATGCGAATAGAGGCCAGGGAGCGTGATTTGGGTCATGACCTACATTTTGTACTCCTTCTCCAGTGCTCTCTTACCCTCTCTCCTTCTGTCCTTGTCTCGATCTATCTCTGTCTTTGTCTATCTCTCTCTCTCTCTCTCTCTCTACCTATAATGCTTGTTCATGTTAACTCGATGTTATACGTTATAGTGAATACGGCACAGTACGAGTAACTTTTACGTACGTGTCGTGTTTAAGAACCGCCATATATACATGCTGGAATGTAAATCATTCGATTTACGTTCTTTATCTTCAGTCATTATCAACTTTTGTAACCGAATTAAGTATGTTTTCACAATATTAACGTGACATGAAACTCCAGAAAATAATTATATCGCTACATGAACTTGAAAACCTCTATATCATTAGAATTCGAATTGTTACACGTACACAAATAATTGTCGCACATCAGGAGGGATTATTTTAGAGATTGCGATGTAGATTCATTATTTCTCTATATATTTTTAATTTCGACGCAATGTCACGTAATTTATTCTTGCTCGATTTTTATTCAATATAAAATATATAATTAGATTGCTTTATAAGCAAACTTCCGACAACAAACGAGCGAAATTTGTTTTCTCGTTACATATATCGTGGACATTTTTTTCTCTTTCAGCAATCTTTAACGATCTCGCGTTTTATCACATAATATGAAAATAAAATTGTTTAATATTTTGTACCATCTGATTTTCGAATTTTCTTAAGATATACGTTTAATGCAATGTATGTAAATCGTATCACACGACGTATCCGGAAATGCGTCATTTCACTTGTTACACCAAACTTATATTCGAAGTAATAAGATGCAATTTAATTCAACCAAAAACTGGCTATTCATTTATTGAAAATAAGTACATACTACACTGTAAAAAAATTTTGTAAAATTACATTAAAAATATGTAAAATTACATAAATAATAAATGTAATTTTACATATTTTTGTGTAATATATTACATATTTTTTTACAGTGTACGTTTCGACCCACATTGTGGTCCTTTTCAAGTGTTGTTCTTATTCAGCAATTATACATTAATTAAAAATAGAAACATGAAAGTTGTCCCGTCATATCGACAATCTGTTAGCTACTGTGAGTCGAAACGTATAGTGTGTACTTATATTTTCAATAAATGAATAGCCAGTTTTTGGTCGAATTAAATTGCATCTTATTATTTGTGAAAATTTGACCAACAATTAATTGTGAAAATTATATTCCAAGATTGCTTTATCGTGCAAGAAATATTGCGATCGTCGCAAATTACGCTTTTCAGGATAGTCAACGGGCGTTTGTCATCTTCACGGAAAATCAATTTCGGAGAGACGCGAAGAAATGAGTTTATCCCTCCTGTGTGTGCGAGAATACTCGAGCGTGAGAGAGACGTCACTCTTACGTGAGCGAGGAGAGATACGGTAGCGCGAATCGGCGCGCTGATACTTTATATCTCCCTTATACACATGCACTCTCTTTATACCAGATCGTCGTACGTCGTCCCTCGGAGAGGAGAAGACGTCGTAAAAATCTCGAAATTGCTCACTTTCACGCGAAAGTCGCTTTAAAATTATAAAACGTCATAAGTAAGGTTTCTGCTCGGATGTTGACTCGGTTAACATTGCATTGCGTTGTCGAGGAAAAGTGACGGGCAAAGGTATACATCCGACGTGGATTTTTATCTCGATGCGACGACGAGTTTTACGCGTATTATTGCGAAACTCGGTTATTTTCGATAATGACATTTCGCCGTCACAGACGCATAGGTATAAGATCAGGGCGGCAAATTCGATTCCATCCCCTCCATTTCCTCTCCCCCGACATTTAAATACCCGAAGCAACAAGATACTTATACATGCTGAATATTTAGACCGGCCGAAAATTTCGGATGAAATAGTCGGGCGTATTCGCGTCTACCCCGTAATCGCGCTTATATAGATCGCCGTATATATCCCGAACGGGGGTGAAGGGGGATGGGACGGAGGGAAGAAATACCTGTTATTCTTCGGGGTCTTTCTTTTTCTAAAATACCAAACTCGCGCGCGGAACTTATTATTTAGCCCGTGCGCGCGTGTTCTCTTTTTATAAACGCGTAAATACATAGCTGTACACACTCGCAAATAACGACGCATCCGTACGCGATCCTCGCAGAGAAGAGGGATGCGAAAATCGAAATTTCTCGCCGCGTTACTTTCGGTACGATTCGATCCGGCCGTTCTCTCTCGTTACGGCGAGGTCGCGAGCAGATTTAGCGCGGTAATGAGCAAATACCGATAACTTACCAGCACGCCGAAAACTTTCTTGTGACTGTGCGGCGAGTGGAGGGAGAGAAAAGGAGGAAGAGGGGAGGGAAGATTCGCGAGCGGGGATGGACGTAAGAGAGGTCGAGCACTAGCGTAGGGGTTGCGCGAGTGCTGAAGGGAGAGAGAGAGTGCGCTATCGGCAAGAGTCTCGGCCACAATCAGCAGCTCGGAGGCGCTCAGTTTGTGTCGGATCTCCGTCGCAGTCGGTTCGTAATCACGGTTCTGTCACCCTGCGTGTTCTCTCTCTCTCTATTTCTCTCACGTTCTCTCCCTCCCTCCGCGGTCCGTCCGCCATCTCTGTGTGTTGTCTCTCTCACTCGCTCACTCACTCACTCTCTCTTTCCTATATCAACGACACCGAGTTCCGCCCAAAGGGAAGCCGCGGTTTTTCCTGAACAAGGCGCGTCCTCGGTGCTCCGTTTTTTTTTTTTTTTTTTTTTTTTTTTTTTTTTACGGATGTCAAGTGTACTTTCGATCGAAAGGTGAAACGACAGAAGAATCTCTCGGACGTATATATGAGCGTGTGTGTGTGTGTGTGTGTGTGAGTGATAGGGTATCGACGGGAGAAAGAAAAGTGTGATGAGATCTTTATCCAATAAATACGTTATCAAGATGTATCCATAAATTTCTCTCGATTTACATAGATACGTGGAGCGCGGAACGTGCCAAGTACACACGCGGTGCATCCTCGACTCGCGCGAAAGCGAACGTCACGCGCGATAAGAGGCGCGCGCGGCTGACTCGGCGCGTACTTTGCCGAGAGATTAGCGTCGTCGACGTGACTCGGCTCGTTTTTCGAAGAGCAGAAACGCGTCTTCTCCAAATGTCGCGTTATTGTTCTTCAGCCTTCATTTATATACACAGAGAGAGAGAGAGAGAATTCACGCGGAAAATCATGCTAATCGTGAAACAAAATGGAAGAATTTTATTAGAGTTTCCCTGATTAAATATTAAGCCCAAAATAAAAAATACTTTTTTTTATCTTATTGTCGTCCATATCGATCGAGATTTCGACCGACGTGTACGCGTGTTATCGCGATGAATTATCGATGATTGTAGATTTCTTTCGACGCGGTTCATTAATGGCAACCACTGGACTAAGAAAACCCGCATCCACCTGACGTGAAGCAACAACGCGTTCCGTTGCGTCTGAATCATCGATAATTCTCGCCAAGGTCATTTCCGTCGTACGGAAAGAAAAATACAGTTTGCCGGTTTGCTCCAAATTAATACCAGCACCTGACACTTTAAAATGAACGAACAATAATTTCGGTTCAGCAAATTTGTATACATCCTTTTTCAATGTGTGTGTGTGTGTGAAGTACACTGTGTTCCCGCGAAAATAATAAAATGTCGAAATCGCGTCGACGACGGACTGCAAAATTGACAAAAGCGGCGTCGTCGTTTTTCATTGGCGAACGAATCGAGGAGAACGCGCGCGAGGTTCGCACGACGCACACTTGTTTTACGTAATGAAATCGCGTTTGTCAGAAGAATCGAGCGTGCTCGCTCGCTCGCTCGTTCGTTCCTTCGCTCGCGCGTGCGCCGCGTGTAATCTATCCGTCGTCGAGCTGCTCTGGCGTTCCGGCGCGCTGGTATCAGTGGGGGAAGTGGGGGTAAGGAGAGGGAGGGGGGAGGGAGGCTCTTCGATCATCGGCATTACTAGCCTCCCTCTCGTGCGTCCTCGTGTCTCGTCGGATCGGCGCGGCGGCGATCGGCTGGTTCCGTGCGTCGCCGTCGGTTCTCAGTCTTGCTCCAGCTCGCGCGCGTTACGGTTCGTTCTCGCGATCCTCCTCTTCGATCGCTTCGTCCTCCCGCGACCCTACGTACATCGCCGATATCAGGCGGTGGAGTGTGGAGTAACGCAGAACGCGCGAACACAGTGTGCGGAGAGATTAAATCCTTATCTATTATTCCTATCTCTCTCGGAGTTTATTTATCCGTCTCTATATATATATATGTATATATATATACATATATATATATATACACAACGTGCTTTTCTTGTGCTTTTTAGAGAGAGGTTTCGTCCGCGCGATCCGATCGTTGGCGGCCGCCGTTGTTGCTTTCGTCATCGCGGTGGTACGTCGCATACCACACCGTCTCTCTCTCGTATATATACACCTTTCCCGGTGCGCGCTTCTTGGATACGCGGTGGTCACGCATGCACGCATGGACAAGCAACGGCGACGCGGCACTGCCCAATGATGGCCGTGCCGGGGCATTACCGTTGACGTAGTGATGTATTATTAGTGGTGCGCGTCGCGGGAAAGTGCTCTCTGTGTTGCCCCGTCTCTCTTCGCTCGCTTCGCTCCGCGAATATATATCTCGGCTCCGATAATAAACGCGAAGTGTGCGCCTCTTTTCGTGCTTGTCGGAAATCAGTGATTCGCGGTTAAAGGGAGAAGGCACGGTATATGTCAAGTGCGTAATATTTCGCCTACGCGAGTTCACCCAGTGTCAGAGTTTCATATCAGTGTCACGACAGTTTTTACTCGCTCTCGCTTTCTCTTGGTGTGTGTCTCTGTGTGTGTGGATTATTGGATATACTCGTATTATCATATTGGGATATACTGTTGCGGCCCAGACACCTCGTTCCCGTCGCAGGATCGAGAGATCGAGATTTCGGTGAGTAAGTGCTCGCATATGCGTGTTCCCCATTCGCGTGTTCCTTCCTCGCGAAGATCGATGCGAGATCCCGAAAACGCGTGACTGTATATGTCGCGCTTATCGCTCTCGATCGGCTGCCATCTTGTTATTTGTAGTCTTCGCGACACTCCGCGAGCGTGTTTACGGTGCGGAAATGTATCTCCGCTCGTGCATTAAAACCGCTATAATTTCGCGGAGGCGAGGGAGATCAAGATCACGCGTTTATCTGCCAAAATTCGTCTGGCGTCTGCGGAGCAAAATTCACTTCGAAGTTCGAGAAATATTATCGTGAAAGTTGGTGCGATCACTCGTCGGTGATAACTTTAACGTATTTTTTTTTTTGCTTCGCGAGAAATTGACAAGCGTTGGAAATCGGGCCGATAAGAGACGAGGGAGATCTAATCGCGAACCCAACGGAAGAAAGAAAAAAAGAATAGAGACGCCGTGCTTCTTTGTTTACGAAACGAACGGGAGACTTTACGCTTTTTTAACCTTCGCGTGCTCCCGGCGAGACGCGACGCGACGCGATGCACGATTCCGAACGAAATAAAAAGTCCGGCGACGGTCGTGTAAACATTGCCGAGTGCGCGGCGTATCTCTCTCTTTCTCTCTCTCTCTCGCTCGAGCTCTTTAGCGGCGCTTTACGCGAAATTACGTCTCGTTAAGACACGAATCACTTTGCGATAAAGTTGCGCGAGTTACACGGCGACGTGCTCGTTTCACCATCACGGTAATTTTACTTGGGGAAAAACCGCTCTCTTTCATATATAAATAAGAACATTTTATAACGAGTCTACAAAATTCTTGCAATGACTTTGCGTCGTGTGCACGTGTACCTTTTTTTCTGTTTTACATTATACTGTATGATCGTACGACGATGAAACGCGAAATACTATAATATATGTGGTTCCTGCTTTCAATTGCGATGATTTTTTTTCTTTTTTAATACAGAGAGATACATTTTATTAAGATTTTTATCGATCATATTTTTAATGAATATATACATATATATGTGCGAATCGTTGACAGTTTCGTGCCATAAAAGTGTCATACGTCGATGACGATAACAGTGAGATTGCAAATATAAAGTCGGCGGCGCGATCGAGCTGATCGGTTGCAAATCGATTGTCTAATCAAATTTGTGCGCGCATTTTAATGCTCGAAACAAGAAACACCTGTTAGGAATAGCCAAAGAATGAGACTCGCGATCAAGATTTTTTCGAACGTTTATTACCTTATATCACGCAAAGCGATTCAACTTCGGGGAAACTATCGTGACAGCTAATACGAATCGTCAGGAACTGCGATGTAGCTTTTTAAATAGTTTGTAGGGAGGGACTAATTGTAAAAGTATTAATTTTTTTCGTTCTCCATTACGAAATAATTTTCTGTCTGCAATAATGTATACGAGCACATTCCGTACGCAAAATACATTCGCAGAAATGTATCGCGGATAATCATGCATCGACCATGGGTTTAATTAATTTCGTTTTAAACGGAACAGGAAACAGCATAAATAAAACTCAGGTTTTTCGAATTGAGGAAGAAATTAGCGGAATCATAAATACTTATATTTGCGCGTTATAGTTCTGAATGAGAATATAATTATAAGTTTTGAAATGTGGTCCGCATGACTATATATCCTTTCTCTCTTCCTTTCTCTCCCTCTCTTTTTCCTGAATTATTCACGACTATATACCATAGAGAAGCACCATCGAGAAAACGGCAAATCGCGACGGATGCGGAGTTCGGTCGAGTCAAGAGCGGCGCGTAATCTTACTCCTAGGGAAAACGGAGGACACGTAATCTCTTCGAGAACGTGGTATGTGTATCATGGATGGGAATATTTTAGACGCGTCCGAGGAGAAAGCGATTCGAGGCCGGGACTTCGATGTCGCTTCGTCACGGTATAGTTCGCATTCTCTTCGCTGTGAACGATATTATTTCTGGCACGGCACCAGCCAGCGATCGATCTCGTCCTCGAACGGGCGATCGCGAACGTCATCGTCATGTGTATGTGTGTGTGCGTGCGAATCTGTGTGTGTCGCGATCGATCGCAAACGAGCGCGTATTCGCCGTCCTTTCAGCAGGAGAGGGTTGGGTGAGTGAAAGAGAGAGAGAGAGAGAGAGGAGTAAGCGCGAAACACGTTTACCGAGACCCCGGAAATAATTACCGCTAAGCAGAGCCGAGTCGTCGGCAAATTGAATTGGCTTCGAGTACCGGCGTATAGTTCTCTCTCTCTCTCTCTCTCTGTCTCTCTTGGCAGCCATCGTCATCGGTCGAACACATCCGAGAGACGATCTCGCCGTAAATTCTCCTCTCGCGATCCCGCTTTACCAATGTTTGCAAACAAACTCGACGTCCACGTTGCGTCGATCGCCGCAATTCTCGCGATATACATATTATTATACTATAGGACATATATATGTATATACGTTTGTCGCTTTGTCGATTCGCTTTGCTCGTATAGGCGTGTTTATCGCGAATCGTGTAATTTCTTTATTATTATGATACGATAGAAAGTCACCACGTGGTCGATGGTTATTGGCACAGCGAGAGATCTGACTTTATATAATTTTTATAAAGGAGAAATTAAAACGCTTGCAAAGCGTTTACATTTTGCCGTTTATAATTGAAGGAAAACGCGCGTGTACATATACACGTTTGTGCGATGCAATTTTGATGATGATTTTATACGTAACAAAGTGTAATTTCTTTCTCCCGGTGATATTTTATACTGCATTATGTCCGCTTATGTTAAATGAAATATATTATTTTATTGTGTTACAAATGGTGGTAATTGCAGTTAAAATCATTAACGTGTGTATACATATAAAACAATTGGTACGCAAAGGAATATATGAATAATCACGCTCATTAAATCACAGTTATTGCTTTAATAACAACCGCAAATGAGAGAAACATACCGCATGTAATACGGTAAATAAGTCACATACGGCATATGCAATAACAAGATGAATATTCAATTAGCGAAAAACAGTTCTCGTTTGCTTTGAAAATTAAATAATAACGGTCGAATACAGTGAAATAATACTATATAGTAAACTTGCTCCCCCCCGGTAACATATATATTTTGTGTGCCATCACTTTAGTAAATTCAGTGACTGCTTAGCGTAAGCCCGAGTATAATTCGATTACTATCAAGTAATTTATGCAAAGCAGCTACGCTAAACGAAGCGAATAGCCAACTTTTCGACGGCAGAATTATTTCTCCCTTTTCAAAGGCCGTTTTTATTGCTCGCCGCCTGTCCCGCCACGTCGACATCTTTAGAACTTTTGCCGGAGTTGTTCAGCGAAACTTTTTTCCTTGCTCTGTCAGAATTATTATCATCCCGAGAATTATATCTATATCTTTTGAAAAAAACGCACTTTCATCGCGACAAAGGCGAAGCACACCTCTCATAGCTTATCAAATACTTATATCAGTCGGCCTGATAAAAAATTGAAGGAAGGAAACTTCGCGCGAACGTCATCGTTATCGTATATATATTATATATATATATCGTTAGCGTTAACTTTCGCGCATATAAGTATACGTGTATATTCTATATTTATAGCGCGAGACATTACTCCATCTCATGTGTCGTTATTATTATCATCGTCTTTCTGGAATGTACTATCCCTGGACCGGCCGCGGTCGCAGCGGCGATACTTGAAGTTCCGCAGTCGCTTCGCGCGTGAAAGCAGCCACACGTGCGCGATTTCTCCTCGCTGTTGCACGCACATTCTTTCACGATCCATCGGCGAACGCGTCCGCGTCCATTGGCCGACATCCAGTTTTTCGGTCGCGCGTTCTCTTCGGACTCGTTGCTATCAGAAAGCTCCATTTAACACCGAAAAGAGACCGCTTTTTTTTGCGCTGTCTCTCGGACATTAAAAATTAGGTGGAGCATTAAAATTGAAATTTTATAATTTTATAAAAAAAATGCGAATAAAAATTGATACGTATAATACGTTAATTAAATGTTGGACATTTCAAATTTATTTTTCTTTGAAATAACGTGGAGGATATAGAGAAATAAGATATATAAAATATTATGTTTATTGAGCATGCGGTATTTCCGGTCTGGTGACTTTCGGATTCATTGATATCGTCCCGGTAAGTTTTATGGGTCAGACCGCTTTTGACCGCAATTTCGTGGACTTGGTTGATGAACATACGGTACCGAAATTTCTCCGGTTCGGGATTTCCGTGGCGCTCCGCTGCTGGTCCGTTAGGTTACGTTAATGAGATACGCCGGAGAGAAGGAACGGGGGATAAAACTCGACCTAGATAAACTCGCGCGTGTGACTTTGAGCGAGGGAAAGTCGTCGACCGTTTACGCGCGATTGATCGATTGGTCGTTCTTGCAATAGGGCAATAATCCATGATGCGATATCGTATACAATTGAAAAAAATGTAATGATTTGAAAGAATGTGCACTGATGAAATTATATATGTGTAGGTATATTACGTAATTCCAGTGAATCGATGTAATTTTGAAATAGTCTATTAGATGTATAGTGATAGTAATCGTGAAATATAATGACTATTAACAATGTGAATGACAGTATTAATTTTGACATTGGAAAATATTCTAATAAATTTCAGTATAACAATAATTTTGATATTGCTGTTAATTTTCTTATAATTTTTTATGAAAAAAATTCGGTGTTTTTTGTCTAATTAAAGTTGATCCGAAAACGAGATAAATCGGGATTCTGCAGTTTAATATTTTTGCACGAAATCTTTAGAGTGTCGATACTGTTTCAACATTGAAACGCTACTTTCCCTCTTTCTCTTTCTCTCTTCTTCTTTTCTTTATAACCTTGAACAGTCGGGTTTTCGAAGGTCACTAGATCGGTTCGGCGTAAATGAATCCGAGTTAATCCTCTTGGAAGCAATATAAAACATCAACTTGGTGCTCGATATTAAAAAAATGTTCTACTTTAACACCAAATTCTGTCACGGTCAAAA